TTATATGATGATATGTTGTATGATGATTAATATGATGAATTATGATGATTAATATGATGAATTATGACATTTGATGGTGATGAATATGATGAATGATGATGTATCTATGATGTTATTATGAGGATGATTTGTGAAGTGTGCATCATGCATTCATGTTCATTCGGACTTTGGTTCAGGACCTCGATTACTTTGGCTTCAATCCCACTGTGCGGATATGAAGTATTTTGATGTGCTCTGATCCTATTGATGGGGATCTATGGAGGGTTGATGGCCCAGTGTCCATCGTGCTGTGATGATTGGTACCACATGCATTGAGTTGTGTCGCATTGCATCTATGAGTCTTTTTGTATGAACTATGACGTTGTGGCAATTGAGGCATATTTGAAGGATATCAATGTGTTGAATATAATTATGAGTAATATGTCATTTATGCATTACTTGTTATACATTGATTATTATGAATTGTTTTACTCACCCTGCCTGTTTGAATGTTACCTTCATATGGGTAACGTGCAGATGAGGAAGTTTAGCCGTGGACGCCGTCGAGGAGTATTTTGAAGTTTTAGAGTTGTTAGCCTTTATGGTTAATTTAGAGGGTCTTGCTCTGATATGTAACATCGGGTTGGGTTCTTTGAGTTGATTTCATATCATTGGGTTATTTTACTGATGTTCCCTTTTAAGGAGAAACCTTGATTTATGCTATGAGTTCCGCTGTTTTATTTATTTTAATGTACTTTGAGGAAAACCCGTCGTTACGGAGTATTGACCAATTTTGTTGACTTTGAACTAACTTTGCTTTGGGGTAGAATAAGGGTGTTACAAAATCACTCAACAAATTTTGAATTAATACTTGGGAGATGAAGAGGACTAATATAGTAACTCGTGTCGAGATAATCTTACGTTATATGATATAGCAGTTAAAATCAGATAGAAAGTGGTTAAATGTTGAAGTTATTTAGTTGCCTCGGACTCAAGTAAACTCACTTTGTATATAAACACATTGTTTATAATATTTTTTTAACCACTAGTATCCGGTCCACTAGATCGATTAATCTGCTTTGGAGGTCAGTTCTAACATCAAGTCATTCTAGCCTCCTCCCGATCGCAGTTGCGGGGGATCGAACCATGGTCCTTCCTGCCAAGTCCAACACCGATCACCACTAAACCAGCTAACGATTGGTATTGTTTGTAATGTTTGTTACTACTCAATTTCAATATTACACATCTATATTCTTTACTCTCTTAATTATATTTTCTCCTATTTGAGTGCAACTAGAGTTTGCACCAATAAATTGGTATCTAGAGTCCTTTGGTTCACGTGTGAAGGAGTCACATTTTCTAGGGTTGTGACTTGCATATGCTTCAATGATGAATTGTGGTAATGACATTCCACATTCTCTTCCAATTCTTGATGGTAAGAATTGGGATCACTGGTACAAGTAGATGAATTCTCTATTTGCATTTCAAGATACTCTTAAGGTGGTTACCAATGGCGTTTCTGATCTTGCAGCAAACACAGTTGAAGCTCAAAGCAATCTTTACAAGGATTCTAGGAATGCTTTCAAGTTAGAAATAATTGAAGATGTGTTATATGTATTAGGTATGAAGTGTAATCTCCCGAGTGTTTATCAACTTATTGAGAAATGATTATCATTAATAATGAAGAATAAGATCCTTGAAGTTTTTTATCCAACCAACAAGCTAGTCTTGAGGTTTTATTTATCAACAAATAGGACCTTCAAGACTTTGATAAGCTCTAAATAAGTTCAATGTCTGCAAGTTGTGGTTGAGAACTAACAAAGTTAGTTGTGGCATATGATATTTGGCCATTTAAATTTCAGATTACTCAATCAACTTGTGGTAAAAGAAATGGTGATAGGTATGCCAAAATTTTCAATGTCTAAGAAGTTAAGTCAAGTTTTCTTGGTGGGAAAGCAATCCATGAATGCTTTCAAGTCATATCTGCCTATGAGATCAGCCTGCATCTTAGAGGTAGTTCATTCAGATGTTTGTGGTCATTTTGAGGATCACACCCGTGGTGGGAATAAATACTTTGTCTCTTTTGTTGATGAGCATAGTAGGAAGCTTTGGGTGTACTGGATCAACCACAAAGATGAAATGTTTGAAGTCTTTAAGAGATTTAAAATGCTTGTGAAAATCAGAGTGAAAAGAAGATCAAGGTCATTATAACAGATAATAGAGGAGAATACACTTCCAAGATATTTGAAGAATTTTTACACAACATGGGATTGATCATGGGGTAATAGCTTCATATACCCATGAACACAATGGTATAGTTGATATAAGGAATAAAAACATCCTAAATATGGCTAGTTGTATATTAAAGCAAAAGAGTATGCCTAACTCATTATGGGGAGAAACAGTTACAATTGATGCATATGTGTTAAATAGGCGTCCGATAAGGATATTGAAGAACAAAGTTCCAAAAGAAGTGTGGAGTGGCAACAAACCATTAGTGAATCATATTAAAGTGTTTGGCTCAATTTTTCATAAGCATTTGCCTGATGCAAGAAGGAAAAAGTTGGGTGACAAAATTGAAGCCATGATTCTTGTTGGTTATCACAAAATTGAGGCTTATAGATTGTTGGTCATCCATATAGACATAATCATTGGTGAAAATGAGACATGGAGTTAGGCATATAGTGGCACAACTATCAAGCCTTTGTTGAACTCAGGCTTGGAAGAAGATGATGATGAGTCAGATGATGTTTCATCATAATAAGTAGTTGAAAATGTATGTGATGTGATTCCATGACTTTAAAGGACAAGGATGGGTCCAACAAGACTACAATATTGTAAGGTGACTATTGATAATAAAGTCATAGAATGTGGAAATCTTGTTTATTTTGCACTACTAGCATATGTTGAACCTATCAACCATAATGAAGCTTTGAAGAATGAAGCTTAAAAAGTTGCAATTATTGAAGAATTGGAAGGCATCGAGAGGAATAATAGATGGTAACTTGTTAAATTTCCAACTAATACTAAAGCAATTGATGTAAAATGGGTATATAAGCTAAAACACAACCCTGATTGTTTAGTTGTTAAACACATGGTTGGGCTAGTAGAAAGATAATTTATGCAAAGAGAAAGGCTTGATTACTTTGAGGTTTATACTCTAATTGCAAGGTCGAAAACGTCCAGGTTAGTAGTAGCTTTGGCTCGCAAGAGAAATTGGCCAAAATTTCACCTTGATGTGAAATCTGGCTTTTTGAGTCGACCTTTGGATGAAGAGGTTTTATGTCATTCAACCTATAGGTTTTGTGAAGATGGTGAAGGAAAGTATGAAGTATAATGTCCAATTTCTTCCACAATGTCGATACTTTTGTTATTTATACCACTGAATATGACTTTTGTCCGGTTTTCTTCTATCGTCTCTTCCTATACATACAACGCCACCTCTATGATTGTTTTGGTTTAAAGATTGTCTCTGATTATATGAACTAACTTCTTGCTGGTTTCCTGTACCAATCGAATTGTTATAACTTCCTCTACCTTTGTTACCATTTCATATTCCTTTATCCTTCTTTTCTTTTGTTGAATGCGCCTGCAAAACTATGTCACTCTTTGTCTTGCTTGCATGTCTTTTAGTCATTATTTGTTCATGAGATTCAAGCGTTCCTTGAAGCTCTTCTTTTGTCATGCTTGACAAATCCTTCGATTCTTATATGACTACTACCACATGATCGAATTTGGAGTCAATGACCTTAAGATCTTCATAACTACTAATCTTGATGTCAACACTTCTCCATATATCTTGATTTGATTCACCAGTCTTGTTACCCTAATGAATAAATTAATGATGTTTTTACTTTCTTCCATCTGAAGAAATTCATACGTTCTTTTGTGAGTTTGTAACCTCACCTCTTTCACCTTCTCAACACCTTCAAACAGTTTCTCTAGGATGTCTCATGCTTCTTTTACTGAGTCGACATCACCAATTTTTTCAAAGTTGCTGGATCAACGCATTGATGAATTATTAAGAGATAATTGAAAGATTTGCTGGAAAATGCACGTTTGAATGAGAAATAATTGTTTTATGCTTCCCAAGAACTACAGGCAGAGCTCTAAATATCAGATGTTGAAATTAACTCAAATCTTTGAGATAATCTGAATCAATCTTAATTGATCGAGAATCAATCTTTCAGGTTGATCGCCCTATCGTTCCTCACTCTTCACTCTAGTGATTCAACTACTCATTGATTTCAAGATGATTCTTGTGCACAATAATTTTAGAAGAAAAAAAATTTGTGAAAGTAAATTAGAAAGAAAAGAAAAATTAGAATTTTGAGAAAATGGGAAAGAAGATGGATTAAATTCTGCATAATTTCTTTTTGTGTTTATTCTTATGAAATTTCTCTTATTCAATATATTATAATAGTATGATACTTCTCATTTACCCAGCAAATAATTCTCAAAATAACTAATATTCTCAAGATAACTCACTATTTCGACATAATTGAACGCACACTATTTCAACTCTCTCTTGAACACACAATTATACTTTATACATAAAACTATACATTTAATAGACCTCGTTTTGTGGGATAAAGTTTAGTTGATGTAATAGTTACTCTAAAAAAAATTAATTAGTTTTCTGCTCAAAAAATAAAATCAGAATAACAGTAACAGACAAAGCCGAGAAAGAGATGGAGATATAAGTGAAGAGTTTAGTGAGTTAATCTGATTTTTGAGAGACATGAATTGCAACGGTAAAGATGCTAGATAGAGTTACAGATAGTTAAATTTCCCTCCCCCTCTCTCTCTCTATCATTTGTATTTGTAATTGGAAGCTGCATCGCACTTTCACATGTTTCACATGTTTGTTGGTTACCGTGCCCCGCTCCCGCTCCGTACATTCATGTACCATATATCACAATCACAACAATCATCATTTATCTCTATCACCTCATTCTAATTTCTCAACCTCACCTTTCATCTTCTTCATTGCAGATCTCATCCATCTGAGTTTACCAAAAATGGGAATCACAGAAGAGAGAGTGGTGGCAGTTATCATGGTCGGAGGCCCCACAAAAGGCACTCGTTTCCGTCCATTATCATTCAACGTTCCCAAACCACTCTTCCCATTAGCTGGACAACCCATGGTTCATCACCCTATCTCTGCTTGTCGGAAAATTCCCAATTTGGCCAGGATTTACCTCGTTGGTTTCTATGAAGAACGCGAATTCGCATTATATGTATCCTCCATCTCCAATGAACTTAAACTCCCTGTTAGGTACTTGAAGGAGGATAAGCCACATGGCTCTGCTGGTGGTCTTTATAACTTTAAAGATCTCATCATGGAAGAAGATCCGGTTCGTAGTTTTTATCTCTACGTTTCAGTTTCTTCATATTTTATATCTAGTACTATTAATAAGTCGATAGAATGATTATCGCATTTTGTATGACAGTCACACATTTTCTTGCTCAATTGTGATGTTTGCTGCAGTTTTCCGCTCCCACAAATGCTAGGTAGTCTCTTTACAGAATAGTTATTTTCTACTTTCTTGATATCTCTTAACTGTTATATAGTTGACGGAACGGCTAATTATTGATTTTTTGGTATATGTTTGCATAAAGAGGCTCACAAAAAACATGGTGGCATGGGAACAATACTGGTTGTCAAGGTTGGAAATTGCGCGCACTTTGTTTTTTGACTGTGACATTTTGGTTATTGGCATCAGGTTTTTTTTTATCCTTTTCTCTTACTTTTGAAGGTTTCTCCGGAGTCAGCTAGCGAATTTGGGGAATTGGTTGCTGATCCAGTCACCCATGAACTCTTGCATTACACAGAGAAACCTGAGACTTTTGTATGTCTGTGTTCTTATTATGATATATGTCTTTAATTGGTGAACTAAAATTTTTAAATTGTTGTTCTCTTCTCGGCTGCTGTATAGTGTCTTATGCTACTTGCTTACCTGAATGCAGGTTAGTGACCTTATAAACTGCGGTGTGTATATATTTACACCAGATATCTTTACTGCCATTGAGGGTGTTTCTTCTCAGTGGAAAGACAGAGGCGAGTGAAATATCTTAAGCCACGTCCATTATTAAAGATATATCCAGTTTGTATTTCATTTTAAGATGTGAAAAATCTTCATCTATGTAATTTGTGCTGGATAAAAAAAACTGTAATTAACTGGAATTTCCTCCTGTATATTAACTAATATAATTCATCTTTGAATTTATTTTGCAGCTAACTTAAGGCGTGTCTCCAGCTTTGAAGCAATGGTGCCAGACACAAGGTTTGAAGTTTCCTGTTTTTCAAAACTTAGCTGACCAGAACTTTCTGAAATTTCACTCTGATCATTAGTAATATCAGCAAGATCAATTCATGAAATGAACTTAAGCTTAAGTTCTCGTCAATCATCTAAACAGTTTGCATATTTATAACTGTGTATGCATATACACTTATTTTTTACATTGCCTTTTAGTATAACGTTTATAAAACTGAAAAATAATTTTAAAAACTTATATGCTTGTCAACAACATCGGAGTTTCTTATGTTTAAGACGGTCACATATCAGAGAATAAAGCATTTATGCATGGATTTTTTGTACAATTGCCATCACCCGAAATGTGCAAGTTAAATTTGAAAATCAATTTACAAAAAATTATTCTATGATTGCACTTGAATGAGCAAATCAAGTATGAAAGGAAGCTCAATTGTGACTATTTCCTACCTAGTTGACTTATGGTTAACTCCCTCAATAATGTTTTTTGCATAAATTCAGTACATATTTATTTATGCATCCAAGAATAGAAGATTTGATATGCAGTTATGATATGTGTGATTTTTAATCATGGAATATTACTTCATGTTTTGAAATTTGTCTTTTTAGATGGACTTTACCTGTAGTGCAAAGGGTTCAAAAACCCGCTGTAATGCAACATGTGGCTAGGTCTAAATTAACACCCTAGTTGGAACTGGGGATTAATCCACATCCAAATAATCTGAAGACAACATGTTATCTTGCTACCAAAGAAAGAAGTTTTCAGATAATCAACATTCAATCTAGTGTTTAAAATGCTGGTTTACGTACCAAATTTTACTTGATCATTTTGGGTTTCAACTTGCTTTTTATTTGAAGAATTGTCCTTTTTTCATTTCAAATCCATTTGTAACAGTGGCACGTGTATAGCTTGACATTTGATATATATACACCATGTAGTTCCTAAGCTTAGTCTTAATACTGGTTTAAGATCCATTATTGAGCTCACATTAAGTTCAATTTAGATTATGAAAAAAATATTTGTTTAAATATACAGCATGCAATTTCCATAGGATCTAATCAGGGTGGATGAAATGGAGGAATGTTTTTGAGTTTAATTTTTTTAAAAAGGATCACCACTCTAGTGTAAAGGAAAATTCTACTGCACAGCAATAAGTCTCGTGAGACGGTTAAAAGGCAATAAGAAAGTAAGATCAGTGTTGTTGAGCTGAGAATGATATATGATAGAAAACCCATAAAAGCACCATTAAGGAGGGTTGATAAAATGGAGGATAATCAATCAGTGAGAGGTAGCAGGAGACCAAGTTAATTGGTCTATTAAAAAATTATTCATAGCAGGTCCAGGACATTCTGTTGCTATTTGATCTATGTAGGTGGAGAAAACTTTGGTGGTTGTTCTTGTTGTATATGCACAACATGAAAATAAGGTCAGTTTATATGAGTTATTGTCATCTGATTCTGAAGAGTTCTTTGTAGGAGTCAAACCAGATATGTCCGATTGGATCAAGATATTCTCTCACCTCTTGCAGGGAAGAAACAGTTGTATATACATGAAACTTTGGACTTTTGGGAACAAATCAAAACTCCTGGGTAAGCTAGAGTACTCTGTTACATATTATTCATCATTTCCTTCATGTGTGATTATCATATATATTGACTTTCTTTTTAACACATCATATATATTGACTTAATGCTTGCAGAATGTCCATAAGATGTTCAGCCTTGTATCTTTCACAATTCCGCCACACAGCCCCCCATCTATTAGCTAATGGAGATGGTATTAAGAAAGCCTACATCAGTGGTGATGTTTATATTCATCCATCAGCTAAAGTGAACTCGTCTGCAAAGGTTAATACTCACCTCTTTTTCTTCGATAACTAGTTCTCTACCCTGGGGCTTTCACAGTCATCTTAATTGCTCTGTTAGTCTTGATCTGTATAACATTTTTTTATTCATAACAACTTAATGTTATTAGTTGAGCTTCTGGTAGTTGTTACTTGTAATTCGTGCAGTTTTAGAAAATTGTATATCTGTGACCACTTGATATATGTCATGAGCTATACAATATAAGATATTTAAGTGATGTGAGAGATCCAAGAAAAATAAAATCTAAATGTCTTGACATGTTATGCAAATTGACTTTTGTTAATGTGGTTGAACAGATAGGTCCTGGTGTATCAATATCAGCAAATGCTCGTATAGGAGCTGGTGCAAGGCTCATAAATTGTATAGTCCTTGATGATGTTGAAATCAAGGCAAGTTTACACATCAATTGGTTTTTTTAAATGCATAATCATTTTATTAGCTTATAACTTTACATATTTCATTTTATAGGAGAATGCTGTTGTTCTTCACGCAATTGTTGGATGGAAATCCTCCATTGGACGATGGGCACGTGTCCAGGCAAGTTTGAAAATTTTAATATATAACTAAATTGTTCCAGTAACTAAAGGCTTGTTTTGTATTTTCTGTTACTTGAATTTTTAAGATTGCTAAGAAGCTGTTATAATGTTTTTTTGCTGCAATAAGTTATTATAGTGCTGCATTTTCATTTCATTTCTCACATAGTCCTTTATGCCAAGCATGCCACACACATCTTAAGCCTGAACATCTTTTAGAATATAACCTGGTCTATCAGATCAGATATCATTATGCATGGTCCAGAGACACAGACTTAGGGCCTCCACGGACAACTGTACTTTCCAAAAAAATCATGGGCTGATTTTGCTTTCTTTTTCAGTGACTATATGTTTAAACAATTAGCATTATCCCCAGCATGTCATATTAAAACTCCAATATACTTTTAGTCCTTCAAAATATGATAATTTCCTTTTGTTATCCAAAACTTCTTGTCCCATTTTGATACCCTGTTGTACTGGGCGATTTGCCCAACTATAGCGTTCATAAAAATTCATAAAAATTGCTCGTCGTTGTGTCACATTTTTCATCTCCTGTTGTTACATTTGCTTTTATTTGCTATTTTTTTGCTAAATTGTTTAAACTAATTCAGGGTCGTGGAGATTACAATGCAAAACTTGGCGTCACTATACTTGGTACTTTTCTTAATGTTATATGTTCATATTCTTTTATTATTTAATACCACTTTCATCCCTAGGATTCAAATCCAATCTCTTGAAAAATTTACTCTCTTTTTTATAGGATATTCTTCAATTGTCAACTGCATTAATGATTTTATTACTATTATCCACAATTATTTTATATCTTGTTCTGCAAGCAACAGATAGTATGATGAAAAATAAAAATAAATCATCTCTCAAGAGTAAACTTAATAATATCAGCTGTTAAACAAATTTAATATCACTACAAGCGTTTTTAATTCTAATGATTTAGATAATTTAGTTTATATATTTAGAGACAGCGGCAGTACTCCTATTATGGGGGGAGATGAAATAACAAAGTACTAACTCTGGAAATCGTGCTGTGACCAGGTGAATCTGTTGTAGTTGAGGATGAAGTGGTTGTTATTAATAGTGTTGTCCTTCCAAACAAGACCTTAAACGTTGGCGTTCAAGACGAGATTATTCTATAGAACACATCTTTTACTCTCACTGTTGACTTTTCATTCTCCATGTAATGGCATTTGCCTTGAGTTTAATATCTAGTTTAGAATTCAAAAAACTTGTGTACTGTTCATTTTGTCAATGTTTGTACCAAAATATTTGTGCTGCTATTTTAATTCAGAAGAAATAAATTATTTCAAGTATCATGTGTTTGAGTACCAGATTGATTGATCGTTCACACTCAATTGTAAGGAACTTAGTTGCTGCAAAATTCAACATAAACAATTGGTTGCCATTGCAGATGTTTTGTTGCAGCCACAAATGTGCTACAAGCTAGACATGATAGAATTAAAAGGCCAGGAAGAACACAGATTCTAAATAATCCTGAAACTGTTGAGACTTCAAAGATAGTTTGTTCAGAATTGAATACAATGGTATTTGAGAATGCTATCCGCTCATAAATATACATTTCATAAGCATCAAATCACAGCTTGCAACCAGTGAAGGGAGTGAAAGTTACTTCTTCTCATGAATTTTGGTTGCAATTAGATTAGTCTCAAACAGGAAGCGCCTAACAGAAGAACTAACACAAAAAAAGTAGAAATATTATTTGAAAAGCAGTGGTGAATTAAGGAGCTCTTCAACCCTCAGTTATTAAGCTGGAAGAAAATAACTACTTCAAGCCATTATTCTTTCTTCAAATACTGTGGGAACTTGCATCACTGATAGCTTCATTTTCCCGTGAAAGACTTAGTTTTTAATCTCAAACTTGTGAAACAACATTACCAAGCCATAAAACCAGTTCATAATACACGGTAATGTAGGTGGAGACAACAAAAAAGGCTGTTCTGAGGAACTAAATGGACACATTGTCATAATTTCATATGACGGAGAACACGACCACACCTGCTTTGCATTCTTATTATCTCATTAGCAAAATCTCGATTCCCCATTAGAACAAGTCCATTTAACACTCGATTAAAAGTAAACTTACGGGGCAAGAAACCTCTACCAACCATCTCCATCAACAACTTCCCAGCCACCACCAAATCCTCCGATTTCTTCCTCACAAACATAGCACTAATCAGAATATTATAGGTGTCCAAATTGGGCAAACAAGTCCCATTCCCCATCTTTTCAAACAACTCCAAACCCTTTTCAAGTTCCCCATCATCACAATAATAACGTACCACAACATTGTATGTTTGAACACTTGGCCTACATCCATGTTCTTCCATTCTCTTCATAAACTCCAAAGCTTTCTCCATTTCACCCGAATGACACAAACCTCTGATAACAACATTGTAAGTAGTCAAATTAGGCACACAGCCTTTTCCCACCATCTCTTCAAAAACCAACAAAGCATTCTGCACACTATCCTTCTTACACAAAACCTGAATCAAAGCATTATAAGTAGCAACAGAAGGAACCAAACCCTCTTTCACCATCGCATCGAAAACCCTCTTCGATCTCTTAACCTCGCCAGCAACACCAAACCCATGAACCATTGTAGTGTAAGTAACAACATCAATTTCACATTTCCTCTTCTTCATCTCCAGAAAAAAATCCCAAGCTTCCCTCAACTGATTACACCTAAAATACCCTTTGAGCAAAGTATTATAAGTAACCATCGTCGGCGTAATTCCTCTCTCCACCATCTCCTTCATAACCTGCAACGCCATTGGCGTTCGCTTAATCAAACACCAGCCATTCGCCATTATATTGTAACTGACACTATCACATTTAAACCTACCTTTGAATGTTTTGAACAAACTATGAGCCATTTCAACGCGTCTCGTCTTGCAGAGAACATCCAGGATTGTGTTGAATGAATTCAAATCCTGGTGGCAACCGTGTTCGTGCATAGACAAAAACACTTTCACTGCCCGGTGGGCTTTCCCGCCGGTAGCATACCTTTCAGCGAGGATAGCGAATGCCCGAGGAGTCGGGCCGATACGGAGAGCCCGCATTCTGCCCATGAAAGCCCAAGCGGTGTTGTAATCGCGCAATCGGGCTGCAATGTCGATGCCGTGTTCGAAGCTTGATGAGGAGTGAATGTAAGTTGGGTGGCGTTCTAGGTGTTTGAAGAATTGCAGGGCTTTGGGACCATGGTTCCATAGACGCTTTAGAACGTTGTTGACTAGCTGTGGGGTCCAATGGAAAGAGTGGTTTGATAGGGTTTCGGTTAGGGATGATGGATCTGATTCGAGGACGAGTTTTGCTACGGTGGCGTCTTCGGAAGCTGGTGGAGATTCAGGTACGGTGGTGAGGGGGTTTCGTGGAAGCCAAAATCGGGGTTTTGGTGGTAAGAGATGGGAACAGTTCCATGTTTGTTGAACTGGTTTAACCAGTAACTGATTAAACATTTTCGAGATTTTCACATTTTTCGATTTTTGGCTCGATTTTTTTTATTGTTGGGAGATTATTTAACTGATTTGTGAACAGCGGTATAAATTATAATTGGGCTATCTAAATAGTTGAAAAGGTACCAATTGTTTATGGGATTACTCTATGCAGATTCTCGCACACCCTCATAAAATCTGGAATTTAATTTTCGAATGCAGACAAAATGCAACCAATTCTATATTTTATTTTGGTTCCGTCTGGTACAGTGCTTTTCGAATCTAACTCTCTTTGGAAGTCTGTTCAACTTGGTGGAAAGATTTACTCAAAAGTGGTTCTTTGTCTGCTAAATTTAACTTCAATTTTGCAGGTTCTGTAGGATATAAGTTGGGGTCTGGAATCGCTATCCCGTTCTGGTCTGCCACTTGGGCCAGTTCCTTGCCATTAGCTGAGTTTTTTCTGAATCTATTCACCTTGAGTAGGAAGAAAAAGGAGATGGTGTCTTCGATGGGTTTTGGGAAGAAGGAGTTTGGATTTGGGATGATTTGGGGATTGATATACAGAAGAATGTTGCTGTCTTAGATAGGTTCAGTAATTTAAAGGACTTGCTGTCAGGGGTTTATTCATCCAAGGAGAGTGTAGACAAGGTGCTTTGGAGTCTTGATGAAGCTGGTGTGTTTTCTGTTAAGGGAGCTTATCAGCTTATGATGAAGTGCAGGAAATCAGACATGTTCTCTATCGATCAGCTTAATTCGTTCGGTTGGTTATGGAAAATCAAAGTTCCTGCAATAATCTTGTTGTTTGGTTGAAAATTGATTTGGAATAGATTGGCAACTAAAGATTTAATTAGAAAAGATTTTGCTCATCTATTCTTTGCACTTTTGCTTGTTGTGTATGGAAATTTTTTTAGAGTAGGGAGGAGTAGGAAATAATAATGTTGGAAACTTAAAGTCGGGCTCAATTTAGTTGGCGGGTGGTGTGGTGCATTTGGAAGGAAAGGAATAACATAATCTTTAACGGTGAGACTTGTAATGTTAACGATATAAACATTAAGATTTTAGCCGGTATTTGAGATATTCCTTATTTCAACTCTAGCTTCTATGTTTTTTGTGTCGAACCTTTTTAGGTTATTTTAATGTTGATAGGGAATATCTCTTTTTGCTTTTAGTTATAATGGATTAGAATACCCCTTGTATTCTATATCAATCTCAATTGTTTTTAGAAATGAAAAATAAAACTTTTAGGTTTGATATAAAGGTTAATTTTCAAATTTTTTTGATATGAATAGTTTATTTGATTTTACCTATTAAAGAGAAAATGTACAACAATCAAGAAAGATTAAGACATGATAGAGTGATCTAACATGCATCGTCGATGCCACTTATTTGATGCAGAAGCATTGTCTCCCCAAGTTTATGTGTCTCCGACATCGTCTTCCCGAAGACATATGTCCCTTGTTGTTGTCCCAAAAATCTCAAAAGTCCATCACCCTTCTGTCATTCCTGATGTGTTTCCAAGAAACCCCACAGACACCCCACTACTTTAATACTTATGGATATTTTGTATAAATGACTTAAAATACATGGTTTATTAAAATATGTCAAATTTATAACAAACTTACGTCTCAGGAGGAAAACTTATTGTTCTAAAGGGTTAGATTGAAATTTAGAATCTAGATTCTCCACTGAATTGTGAAATAAACACATTATCATGAGTTTAAAATATGTCCAAGGATTATTCCAGAAATTAACTTCTGGATTCACCCTTCATCAATTCTTTGGCAAAATGGGGGTGACTTACTTTCGAAGAAGTATTTTAGTGTGTATTACGGACGTCCGAAAGTTAACTTATGAGTGTGTTTTTTTGGCATAATGAGGATGACTCACTTACGAAGTGTTTGGGTGTGTCTGGAAGTTAACTTTCGGATTGTTTCTTGTAGGTTTAAGGACCTTTTCGAATATCCAACACTTTAGACTCTCATTTGAACCTCCCACATTTACTGTCACCTTTGTAAAGTCGTCAATGTATGCTCGCATGGTCTCTTTCTTAACATTGTGTGAGACCGCCTCCATCACGATATTGTTCTTTGGAATGTCATTTTGCATGCTCTCTTTGATCTGAGTTATTCTGTCTGCAGAGGCTTGGGAATTTTGTTGTTGAACCATCTAGTACATGTTCTTCAATAACTCATTAGCTCATTGCATGCCAAGATTAGCCAAAATCTAGGAGTGATTCACATCCACTCACATGGTTTCCAAGTATCTGGCCGCCTCCATCGATCAACAACTTTTCTTCATAGTTGATGTAGAGTTGCGCCTTACTTAACAAGTCCTTCAGGATGTGGGTTTTCTTTCGCCCTATTTTTTCTCAAAAAGCACAATTTGGTGTAAGGGACTTCTCGAAGATCCAACACTTTAGGCTCTCATTTGACCCTCCCACGACTACTTTCACCTTGGTAAAGCGGTCAATGTTCCCACGCAAGGTCTCTTTCTTACCTTGTGTGACCCCGTTAAGAACGACCATGGTGGTTGGTTGTCTTTTCCTGACGGTGAAATGGACGGTGAAAGCCTCTCATAGGTTAGGTCAGGAGTCTATGCTTTCATCCATGAGGGACTTGTATCAAGCATGGGCGCACTTGGTTAAGGTTTGTGCATATAGATTGCACTTCATGTCTCTGTCAGTGTGGTGGCAGTTTAATCAGTCATTTGCTTACTCAACATGTTCCTCTAGATCTCCATTTACATTGTAACTCTAGAGCTTTAAAGGCTTCTCAAGAGACTTTGGGATCCTTTCATTCCATATGTGTACATGCACATGATTCTTCTTTCGTGGCTAAGGGAGGGTTTCTTCTTCCTTCCTTTCTCTCCTCCCTAGTCGGTGGACTTCGGGAGAAGTGTGGCAACCCCTTCCTCTTTTGAGATCTAGGGAAGGTGTATGACATATATGTCATCGGCGACTTGAATATTTTTGGACTTTTTTCAGATCCTTTCTTAGCTCTGTGGTTTTATGTGAGTTCGCTTCGCACACGATATTGTTCTTTGGAATGGCATTGTGCATGATCGCTTTGATATGATTTAATATGTCTACAAAGTCTTGGGAATTTTATTGTGGAACCATCAGATGCATGCTCTTCAAGAACTCATTAGCTCATTGTGTGCTAACATTAAACTGTAATATATGGAAATCGAAGAGTTCTACGCATCCAATCACACTGTTTCCCGGTATTCAACTGCCTCCATCGGCTAACAACTTTTCTTCATGGTTGATGTAGGGTTGCACCCTACTCAACAAGTTATTCAATTTATAGGCCTCATTTCGCCCTAAATTTTTACGGAAAGCACAACCTAGTCTAAGGATTTTCTCAAAGATCCAATACTTTAGCCTCTAATTTGAGCCTCCAATAACTACTGCCGCTGTGGTAAAACATTCAATGTACACGCGCAAAGTCTCAGTATTACCATGTGTGACTCCATTGAAAATGGCCATGGTGGTCGGTTGACTTTTTTTACAATGAAATGGGCGGTGAAAGCATAGAATAGGTCAGGCCATGAGTATATGTATCCATTCGGGAGGGAGTTGTACCAAGCATGGGCGCACTCAATTAAGGTTAGTGTAAAGAGATTGCATTTCACGTCTATGTTAACGTGGTAGTAGTAGGCAATGCAACGGGATGTGATAGGGGAAAGTTTAAGCATTACCAGCTCCACCCCATTTTTCTTGTACTAGCCCCGCCTCCGCCCCTAACGGAGAATGAGTTTCCCCGTCCCACCTTACACCCACACGGAGAAACTGCAATTTTTTTTAAATGCATAATTTTTTTCGTAGCAACAAAAATGAATAATTAAACTAAATATTTAGTCATTTTAGTAATAATGATATTATTTGATCATTTTTATTTAATCTATATTTCAAAAAAATAAATAATGTTTCTGATGAATTTACTATTTTAAGATTAAGAAAAGTAAATGAGAAGTAAAATCATTAAAAATAAAGATAATAAAATAAATTTAATAGGTCAGGCGGAGTGGGTATGGGGCATATTTAGCATCCTCCGTTTATGCCCCTGCCATGGTAATTAAAAATCAGGTTTTTCCCGCACCTGCCTCCGACCCCAACTAAATCTTTTTTTCAAGTTATATTCAAGGTGGTGACGGCTAGGTCCGGCTTGAGGCCGATTTTTTTCCATGCCTAGGTAGTAGTCTAATCATTCGTTCACTTGCTCGACATGTTTGTTTAAATCTCCATTTTCGTTATAACTCTAGAGTTTTATAGGCTTCTCTAGAAACTTCGGGATCCTTCCATCCAATATGCGTACAGATAGAGGATTCTTCTTTCGTGGCTGAGTGCGGGCTTCTTCATCATTCATTTCTCTCCTCTTTAGCGGGCGGACTTCGGGATGAGTTTGGCAACCCCTTCCTCCTTCGAGATATGGGGAAAGAGTATGAAGTCTATGTTGTTGGCGACTTGAAGATTTTTGGACTTCTTCTAGATCCTTTCTTGGCTCTCCAGTTTTATGTGATGTCGCCTTCAGCACGGTGTTGTCCTTTGGAATGACATTGTACATATCCAAGTTAATTTGTCTGTAAAGGCTTGGAAATTTTGTTTTTCAACCATCTGGTACATGCTTTTCAAGAACTCATTATCTTCTTGCATGCCAAGATTAGCCTGCAAGAGTTGGAAATCAGGGAGTGTTTCGCATCCGGTGGCAGCAGACAGTAACATATGTCTAAAGGAAGGTTCTCCTAGATGAAATTATGGAATAGATCTGACGAACGAAGGAAGTTGAGAAACTCTTGGATATGCCCTACGTTAGACAAGGTTTGGTGATGGAGGAACTAATAGAATTGTTGTCAAGACTTGATCGTCCGTCCTTCGAGAAGGAGGAGGAGGATTCCTAGCTACTTCGGTAGTCACAACTACTTATAATTGAACGACGAAACAAATGGTTTTGGAAGCTGCAATCGTCTGATGCATCAGATGGAATGAGTTTGGTTCCAAACTTAGAAGAATTGGTCTGGAGACG